TCTCTCTCACAGCTGGCTTCAGATGTGTGTGTGTGTGTGTGTGTGTGTGTGTGTGTGTGTGTGTGTGTGTGGATACTTCTAAAATGTGTCTAATTTGTTCACAGTGTCACCAAAACCCCGGATTTGTTTTCCTCAGATTGTGTTGCTGTCTACAGCTACTGTAACCTGCAAAAGACCTGCAGAGACTATGATGCAGTGAAAGTATTTGATTCTGGGTTACAGTGTGGAGATGTCTTTGGAGAAATTGAATTTTGTCTTTTTGGCCATTGGAGGCTGAAATGACACATCTGCTAAATAGTTAATTAAGGTACATGTTTTTGTTTTTATTGTTATTGTTCCGCTGAAAAACCTTTTGGACAGAAGTAGCTGCACTGACTCAACAAGTACACTCACTGCTACAGTATGAATAACGGATGAATGTTGTTGGTACATGGTGGGATGCTTACAAAAAAGCATTGTTTAGATTTCTGGCTAAAGTGTAATGTCTGTATCATGATTTAAAAAAAAAAGCACCATGTCCTCTTAAACATTACTGGTCTTTTTTAGTTCTGTGATAAAAATGGAGACAAATTGCTGCCTGAAAGCTGCAGCACCGTGTATTCAAGTGAATGAAAGGCTGTTTTTACCTGTAGCGGTCAATGTTTGCAGCCTTGAGCATAAAAAAATGCTACAGTAGCACTAGTAGAGGGCAGATGCCCAAGGCAATAGATGATTCCCATACCCAGGTTATTGTCTACAGTTGAGGGGTTTAAATATAACATACACATCTAAAACGTGTACACACATCTGTGTGAATTGTGTTCATACAGATAAAAGTGTGATAAAACTACTAGTTTGTAGTAGTTCAACTCAAACATGAATTATAAATTTAATTTACTTAAATTATACACCATTTACCTTTTTCCTGGTTGTGGAAAATCTGTGGGTATGTTTTTATTATGCCACTGATGGCTGTGGCCAGAGGCATTAACTGTCCAAACATCCCATTCTTGTGAACACTATCTCAGAAACACCTTGAGGGAATTTCTTCAGATTTGGCACAAACATCCACTTGAACTCAAGGATGAGATCTGACAGATTTTGGTGGTCAAAAGTCAAGATCCCCATGACCTCGCGTGTCCTGTTCCTGTGAATTTGGTTGGCCGAGACATTCAACCACAAAGCAGCAAGTCTAGTTTTTTTTATTGTTGCATTTTTGTTTCATGAGAGAGAATGAGAAAGGCAGGATTCAAGAAAGGCTGAAAGCCTGAGGATAAAGTCTGACTAGACTGAAGCCTCTGTGTGTGGGGTGGGAGTTTAATCAGCATGAGAAGCACACTAAAAGGGAAAGTTGACATGAGATTTGATAGATGACTGAGAAATAAGAGTCACCGGACGTTTATAGTCAGGGTGGTGTTTAATTAAAGTCATTGCACCTCGTTTGCAGCTGTCTGAAGCTGCTTACAACTTGACACCTCTCTCCTTCCCCTTTCAAATCATTTCCCTCCTCTTCTGATTTCTTCTTCTTTCCTCTTCTAGGTACAGGATGTCTCTCCGCTCTGTCTCTCCTTTCTCCTTTTGTCTCCCTTAATTTGCTTTATTTTTCTGTTCTCTCTCCCACCACTCCAGTATATTTTGAACTGGCAAACACCTATAAAGTTAATTTAAAAAAAGTCCTTGAAGTTACACGTGAACACCACACACTCACGCACACGGGCACAAAAGGTCACCATCTCATCTAGTATTTCCTTCATTTGTCTCTACAAAGCAAAAGTCTTTCTTCGCTTCTTCTAATCATGATTGTGTGACCGTCTTTGTGTGTATGTGTGGAGGGCAGTGAACACATCTCATTAGGATACTGATGGCCTCGCAGCCGGCTTGCCACAGCTTTATTAATAGAAGCTCTGATTAAAGGTTTTGCAGTTCGCTGTATTGGGTATGACTTTGGTTGTGTTTCATCAGTATGTGATACTGTGGCTCAGATTAGTGTTGCTGAGTCTGGATCTAAGTGGCAGGACGCACACTATTTACTGTCTGTTTCTTTTTTATGTACCGTATGTAAGGAGTGTAAGTGAGCGTAGGTGAGTATGTACAGTATAATGTCTCTGTGTTTGTTTGTTTGTTTGCACTTATAGTTAGTGCCGTTATTTCTTGTCAGTGCCTCTGTTTCTCCGGTTTGTTGTTGCCAGATGTAATGACTTAATTTTTTCTCGAGGAGGATTACATTGTCTGCACATTTCTCAGATCTCACAGTGAGGCCGTCATACACTTCTGCTCCTCAGACCTCCTGCCAACAGAGCAGTTTAGATAAGATGACCACATGTTGGATGGATGTAGCAGAACAGGGCAGCTTAGGATCAGCTCCAGAGCTGAGATAAGGATAAGGCCATGTAGCGAGAAATTACACATGAAGCTGTGTAGGCTTGACTGTATGCTGATGCTCTTGGTGGGAGTTTCCCCAGACAAGGTTATCCCCCCAACATCCGAGGAAATCTGACTTTTTAACAGATGGTACAGCCCACCAGCATGTTTATGTTTTGTTGTCCATAAGGCATGCTAATGAAGAGCAGACTGCTATACATTTGGTGTTTTTGGAACATACAGTGGGTACAGAAAGTATTCAGACCCCCTTAAATTTTCCACTCTTTGTTATATTGCAGCCATATGCTAAAATCATTTAAGTTCATTTTTTTCCTCATTAATGTACACACAGCACCCCATATTGACAGAAAAACACAGAATTTGACATTTTTGCAGATTTATTAAAAAAGAAAAACTGAAATATCACATGGTCATAAGTATTCAGACCCTTTGCTCTGTGACACTCATATTTAACTTAGGTGCTGTCCATTTCTGCTGATCATCCCTGAGATGGTTCTACACCTTCATTTGAGT